CTTTCTTAAAGGAATAAGCAACAATGTTATCTATCACTTTGTAGGATACAATGAATATTATGGTAGTTATATAATGATCCTTAGATTGTTTTGGGGCAGTCGCATGTATATTAGATGGTAATGAAAATGCTTGAATCAATTTTATCAATCATTCTTAATTTAGCCATAAAAATTAAGTCTAAGATTAAACTCTTACAGCACTAGAATGTAAGGCTATCGACTTTATGGGAAACTCAATCGCACTTGAGATTTGCACCCACGACCATTGGAGTTGCTAGTAGCGATCCTTTGCCTGTTCGGCCACTTGGGCTGATTTGCAATAATTTTAATATTTTTATTATATAATAGAATGTAAATCATATTTTCGGACAAAACAAATAACATTAAATCAATTTTAATATGATTTGCATTTTCTTACATAAAAAAAATATTTCCATATCTTATAAATTATATCCACTATATCCACTCAAAGAATAAGTTGTGTTCAAGAAGTGGAAGACTTTGTGTCTTGTTTCGATCATGGCTGATATAAAATCTGATTAGAATCAAGTCACTAGCAATATGCTGCTATTTATCATTTCTTTTCTTCAATACCAACTATTATTTTATATATATCAAGTGCCTGGTCAAATGGAGGTACGTTCTATTTGGAATTCTTTTCTAGCAATTCAATGTCGTCTTAATTAAAGTTCGCCTTTTTGTAAGAGCAACAAGAGCCCATTTAATTTATCTATGTCCCGACTTTTTTGTTCTATCATTTATATAATAAGCATATTTATGTAAAATTGTCAACATGCAATTTATTTATGACCGCATTGTCTGGCGCTCTTATTTACAGGTAATGAAAACAAAAATAGGATGACTTTATATTTTTATATGGTAATACCAAATATCATGTCTGATTGCCATATAAAGGTTTTATCTTTTGATGAGTAACCCTATATAAATAGTCGAAATTCTGCGAATAGTGGAGCAGGACCGGCATATAAGCGGTTAGGAAATACCGGAGGCATTAAACATCAATCACATGACAGTTTGGAATTATTTGAAAAGAACAGGCTACAAAGAGAAACTCACATGATAAAGCCACATGATTCAATGCTAAAAGATTTGGTTTGGATGGCAACACAGTATCATATCAGAAATTCCATAAGTAACTATAGGATTTTATATCTAAAAAAAAAAAAAATAAATATTTACTATATGTTTTCGCTTTTAGTGAATTTTGCATTCGAGTTAGAAATTTTTAAATGCCGATCCTGAACGCGTATAAACATAATAAATGAAATATTTTTCTCGCCACTTGTAAATATTGCTTTCATTACAAACATCTATGGAAAGAGAATATTTGATAAATTAATTTCGAAATATTTTATTAATAACACATAATATTTTTTTTCCCAAACAATGGATTGGATTTTTTTCATTCAAATGCTCGCCAATCGCACAAAAATCCCAATTTTTTAAATCCTTATCCACATGTGGAATAATTAAAATTTTTTGTTTTTGGTTTTTTATTGGCATACCGCAGAGTCTGTTAAATGAACGATGCCTAGCGAGAATGTTTTCGGTGTTGCAATTATTTTGGAAATTTTTTTACGAAAAAAAAAAAATATATATGGATTTAACGCACTAATGCCGAATACCCGCGAAGATAATGAAATTCTGATTTCTGGTCGCCACAAACTTGTAACTTTAAATCGAGAAAAAAAATTTCAAAAATTATGTATTATTTAAAATAAAAAATGTTTTTTATAATTTGTGTACTTGCTTTATAGGTGCATAATAGGACACTTGTTGTTATCTAGCATTACATATTACATGTGTTTTGGAAAATCAGAGTTGAAGCAAAATTTAATAAAATAATCCAAGTCAAAGAAGAAATGTGTGTGGGATACGATCCATCATGAAACAACCCGCACCACTTCGTTTAATACATATATTCATATAACGTCTTTTCAAAAGAAGACCTTTGTCTGGGAAGCAATCGAGAAAGAAACATTTTTAAGGGGCCTTGGGCGAAAACATGTCGACGTATCCAGTTGCAATAAAATATCTCAAAAATTGCAATCTGTAGGTTGAACACATTCGAAAACATGACGGAAAGAGGGACGCACAAAGTGATTATGAACCGGTCGGTATAATAAAAGATGGGTCTATTCCAAGCCCTTTTAGGTGTTGCATACGTCCGCGCAAACCTTTTTGTTTTTTTATATGTAATCAATCGCTCAGGGGATGTTCGTTATTTGTGCAACACGGTGACTGCCAGAAAGAAGGGAGGGAAGAGAAGAAATGGGGAGATGTTGGCGGCGGAAGCCTCGTAGGTTTTGTGCGCCCAACCGGTACCTGTCACGTGTTTACCGACTAGACGCGCATTTGCCACAGCTACGACCAGAAAGTAAATTCTACCGCACTTGAGATTTGAACCCGCGAATATTGACGTGGTAGTCGCAGTTATTAGCTCCTCGACTATTTACGCGGTTTAACTGAATATATTCTGGTACAACAAGTGATGTAAGGTATAACCGTCAACACACAGAGCATGCGTAGAGGCTTCAAGCATCTCTAAGCTATGAAAGAATGCGGCAAGGGAATCGTTTCATATAGTATGCACATCGTTACACAAAAATAGCTGGCGCACCTCTATTTAAAAATATCTCAATATCGGGATGCATCGCCTTGAGTACATTGGTACGTCCTACAATAGCTAGTTATACAAAGCTCCTAAAGTTTCCGCGTTCAGAAACACAAATTGCAGGACATGACTTCACCTCAGCGGAATCCGTAGAACTTTTGCGAATATTAACATCCATTAATTTTTGCTTTGATTTCAAAAAATTTGGCTAAAAAAGAGCGTTGTCCTTTAAGTCCTTACAGCGGGATGTTACCCTTTAAGATCATACTTTGGTCTTAAGATATTGTTTATATTCCAAATGTTATCATATACTAACAGAAATAAAATATTTTCAATTTCATTAAAGGTCTAAAATAAGTTAAAAAGTTGCCATTTTATGCCCTACTCAACTCTGGCCATACCTTGCACTTTAAATAATTCATAGCGACAAGTGTTATCGAACAATTTTAGTAATAAAAGCAAGATTTAAAGCACATATAACTGTTTGTGAATGAATGAATAAATGAATGAATGAATGAATGAATAAATGAATGAATGAAAGTGTCTATGTGTTTTCATACTAATAACAAATTTCTTGCAAGTGAGTTATGTTAGAAGAAAATCTTTTGAAAATTGTAATCTCTTTCATACTTTTCCATAAATTTTTGTACATTGTGCGATATTATTCACGTATATGTATATGTAAGTATAATAAGACCATTTTTCCGGTTATTTGCAATGCTTTCAATGCAAGGGTGTGCGTACATATCTTTTGTGTACTTGTGGTGAGTACCTGAAACAATTTTATGTGCGTTAGAGAGAGAGAGAGAAAGAGAGAGAGAAAGAGATGGAGAGAGAGAAAGAAAGACAGAATAGTCTGATGGATTCCTTTTAAATATTCACTTATTTGTGAAGTACGTCTGCCTTCTATGTACATAAATATGTTTACATATATTTTCATTGCAGGCACAATCATTGGCACATATAGTCAATATGTCTGCAAACATTTCTTTGCTCACAGACCCAAAAATATGTTTATACAGCTTATTTGGTATTCTCTTTGTCATGGAAGCATACAAAAATAAAAGTTTATTAAAGAAAAATCCTTTCGTAGAGGTCACTGCTTGTTAGTGAAGATTTGAATTTTATCAAAGCAAATATATATATATATACATGTATATTCGTATGCACACAATAAATCCCATAAAATACTCTTATATATATATATATATATATATATACAAACTAGGTATAGTCTTTACAAAGATCTGCCCTACTTTCATTTATCGCTTATGAAGTTACGAAAATTTATCGTAGTAAGGGAACAATTGGAAATTTTGTTTTATAGAATTCATAGGACATCCGTGTCAATACGACGTAAGCAGAAGGACTGAATGAACTAATTGTAATTTGCATAGAAAATATTCTTAAAGATCCCGGGTTACTGGATTACGTACCATTCCCAGCAATTGTTATTGTCTTTAGTAGGTCTAAAGTATTTGGTTTCAACACGACTACATCACATGTCACATAATCGAAAACGAGATCCTATGTCTCTTTTAAGTCTTTTATTACGGCCCATATTGGGTATAGAAACTCCCTACAAAAATGTTGTCAATCGGCCTACTGGCACATATATGATGAATTTCAATACTTTTGGCATATTTCTCTTTCACTTCAAAGCGACTGTGAGTCGTTTAATCAATTACTTAGCATAATCTACCTGCATATATATATATATATATATATATATGTATGTGCATATATGTATATATATATATGTATATGTGTATGTGCATATATGTATATATATATATGTGCTCTAGTTAATATTAATTATCCAAATTGCATAGAATTTTTATTAGACAGAAATAAAAGTTTGGTGAAATTTATTTAAAAAATGGGAAAAATTGGTAACGAAACTCTTCCTCATTTATTTATTCATTTAAGAAATCGCTTCATAGGTAGGATAGTTTCTTTCTATCGAATAATTTGATGGTTATCGTTTAAAAGTTCCATCGCTAATATACTATATATACAGAGGAATATTTATAAATGTGTCCGTAGTTTACATATATAAAAAATTTAAGATTAGACAAGCAGGCAAGTTGTACTTGGCTCTGGCCGAATCTTTTATAACCATCGAGTTTATTTAAATAAAGGAAAAATAAATGCTCTACAATATCGGCTGCGCGTGGTAGACTTTTCTTTTATTTTTATGCAGGTATTTTGCACAATCATCCTTAGAGTATACTTTGAAATTTTTATTATCGTATTTCCTCTGTTGTTTAATCTGTTTGTTTTTTTTTTTTTTTCCTGAATATCGAACTGGTGTCATTTCTATTTTATTGTGGGCGTATGTTTTGACCGATTCAATGGTCTGCGTCGAGAATTTCGGAAGCTTTTCGGAATTTCAAAATCGAAATTTTTAGATTTGCAATCAGAAGAACATTTACCATGCGCATTTAAATGGGCAGGCGGACATACTTGGATCGATTCAGAATTTAATACTGACTAAGAATATATCTACATCTTACTTTACATCATGTGTGTTGAAAACTTTTTCCTAAAACGAAAATATCTCCATCGTTATCCTTCCATGTTAGGTATAAGAGAACAGGACATTTTTTTTATTTCAAGTATATATTAAATTTGTAGCCTCAACCAGCAGTGTTAAGCACATTGATGAATGATTGGCCGTGTTCGCTTTGTAGTGACACATCTATAATAAGTTTTTGCCAGTTTATGCAGCCCCTAGCGTTCCTAACCCTATACTTTGCTTGTATATTTCGCTCAGCGTTAGTTTTTTTTTTTTTTTTTTTGGGTTTTATTTTTTTCATTGTTTGTTCCACTTTACTGGCAGCTTCTATTTTGCTCATGTGTACGTATTTAACATTCAAGCATTTAATTGCTTTGGCTTCATATGTGAATGATGAGAGCAGCACAGTAATGACCATTCGTCACATAATGTACAATGTAGTTGTGTCGTAAGCTGTTTAAATGCCTTGATTAAATTTAATTAAGGCGAGGATATTATTTGGGGGAAGAAAAGAGCGTAAATTAAACAAATCTCCCATATGTGTTTCCATTCCATGTTTTTGCCCTTGTACGTGTCGGATGCCGAATTATGCTGTACGGCGGCTGGCAATTCACCTGAAAATAAAGGAAACCAATGTTTATTCATTTTTAAAAAGGAAATTAAAAACAATGCAAAGAACAAGAAAAAAATTTATATAGATGATCAAATGATAAATTATTCCAAGTTTGTAATAATGCGATAAGTGCTGCCCAGTTCAAAACTGAACTTATGGCGTCGATATCATAACATTTCAAATTGTTTCGCGAATGTCGAAGATATGTTGGCCAACATATGTTACATTGTGATTAAACCTAAGCAACTATTGCTTGAGAAACGAAAAACAAAAAAAAAAAAACACAAAAAACAACTCTGAAGGAATTGTATTGAGCTTTTATAACAAAAGAACTACAATTAAAGTTTTCCGTATTGTATACTTTTAGTTAAACGTCCTGTCCATGTTTAGTATTGTAAATTGAAACAAGTTAATGCATTATTGCCGAGCCAGACCGATCATTAAATACTTTACATTACTTTGTCACTCTAAGACAATCTTTGTACATTTAAGCATAAAAGTTGTTATAAAATTTCATATAAACTGCAAATTTTAAAAGTAAAAAAAAAATGTATTTTTAGATAAGCGCTACATATGATAGGAGACACAAAATATGAGACGACGTATTGTAAATATATCATATACACTGAAGATGTTTGCTCAATGCATTTATTATTCTTCACTATTTTCATTATGAAATATCCAAAACAATACGACGTTGTTGGATAAAGGCTTTCTTTCTTTTTGATATGGAAGCGTGTTCGAAAAAAAAATCCAATTCGATTTAATGTACGCAGAATAAATTTGCAAGACAATCATTTAGCTCTGTAGACTAACTTTCATCATAAAATATTAAAGACTAGGGTAAGGCGTTTTTTTTCATGAAAAAATATTAAAAAAACCTCTAATGTAGGAGGAAATTTGAAGTGTACATTGCTGTGATCTTAGCTTGCCGTAGTTAATTTACATATCGAATCACTATTCTGGGCCGATTTTCATCGTAAAATATTAAAAACTCAATCTGTTTTTTGGTCGTCTAAAAAAAGGGAAAGGGAAAGAGAGAGAGAGAGAGAGAGAGAGAGAGAGAGAGAGAGAAAGAAAGAAAGAGACGGGGTGAGAGAAGATGATAGGGGGGTCAAAAAAATTGTTCCATCCAAATTTTCCATATTATTTATTTAATACGCCAAAAATATTATTTTCCCCGATTGCTGTCGTGAAAGTATAAAAATGGGAAACTTCTCCATATGACCACTTTTATTACAAAGTTTCAGAAGAGGCTTGCTTATCAAACACACACAAATCAAATTTCGTCATCAAACTACTGAACACAAGAATACGTGGGTAAAAGGACTGATAGGCAGACATGTTTATATCGGTTTAGAAAATAATTCCGATTTCGAAGCGATTGACGTTATAAAAAAAAAAAAAGGAGAAATGCATCTCTTTCAAACACTTCTGACTGTCGTATAAGTAGGTGAAAAATTCAAATATTCTATCACAAATGCTTTAAGGGTGTAATAGAGGTGATAGTGCCGTTATAATGATAGTATGTCAGATTGATAGTTTTTATTGCCATTTAAAAGAAATTTTTGCTTGCTATCGCAAGTTTTACTTTGCTCAACACAAATCATATGTCGTTGCATAATTTTGAATCTGACAGAATAAGTGAATAGCATGACAATTTCAAAGAACATTTTCCGATTGGCATCTGAGTAATTCTTGTAAAAGGTTTATTTCATTAAGTGATGAGAATTTCTTATTAGAAAATGTTTTCCTTGTTGAAGTCATACCGTACATATCTGGGTATGCTTGATAATTTGTACACTCAGCTAATACAAACATATATACATATAAAAACACGCACACACATATGCAAGTAAATACGATTATTTCTCAAAATACTTTTGTTCGTTTTTCTTGAGTAGTGGAGAGCATTTCATAATGCAATCACAGAATGGATATTAAATTATTCAATTAGTTAAATTGATTATCTTATATTAAATCGCTGTCATAAGTAATTCAACATTAATTAGAATAAGAATATTACATTTAATTGGATACCGGACCAAAGGCAATAATTCTATAAGGACTTAACACCTAGAGTGTCTTACTTCTATGAAAGTGCAATTTGCATTTCTTGCGTTTAAGGTTATGTCGCAGCATTTGTATGCTTGTTTCTGTCCACGTTACAACTTGTCAAAGTTTACTCTTTATTCATAAAAGAGAGCGGAAGCACTGCATATGGATTCGGACTTATTCAAACGGTGTTACATCTTAGAGAAAGGTGGGAAAAGAAATTTAATTAATAACAAATGTAAGGTCCACCAGACAAAAAAAAAAAAAAAAAAAATAAGGGGATTTATAGGGTTCAAGTGATTACAAATGATGAATCATCCGAATCGAGTACAGGAAACAAATAATTGGCAATTCATCTGAGTGGGGTACTGGGTGAGGAATAATGAACCTGTACTCTAACAAATAATGGGCAGAAGTTCATTTAATACATAAGTTGTTTTATCGTTAGACATGATGTCTACAAATATTAGAGTCTAACCAAAGATTTTCCTTTAGTTGCCTCCCAAATCAGTATTTGGATGAATGAATGAGTGAATTAACAAAGTTTGTTCAGCAGAAACTACTTTTTATGCTAATCACCCAAGGATGACAGGTATATTCATTTCCTGAAAACGTTTGCAATGCCCAGTTCTATAGAGTATGAACATTTAAATTTCCCTTTTCTAAAATTTTTTGGTGGAGTCGATCACGACTGAATATAAGTTTCTTGCTTGTTTACGTTAAATTAAAACTTAGACTAGTTACACAGCATAGGGCACAGGACTCCCTAAATTTTATCAAGTAGTGAGTAGTAGAGTAAGTAACAATGGCAGTATTCGCGGACTCAAATCTTAAATGCGGTAGAGTTTACTTTCAGATCGTAGCTCTGGTGAAGCAATAAATAAATAAATAAATAAATATGTCATTATTGTTTTTGCTCGAGGTGTGCCATAGAGACGCCTATGATTATTTTATTTGTTGTTAATTAATTTATGAATCGTACGCACCTTCCTAGGCCTAACATATAAAGCCTAAAGCTAATAAGCAGACTTCACTAATGTATTTCTTGATATTTTATCACTTGGCATTAGTTGACTAATTTATGTGTTTTGCAATATATATAAGCTCTTCTTATATAACTACTGCTTTTTTTGTACCATAAATCCTATATCTGTAAATATTATAGACAGATAAGCATTTCGTTGTCCAAAGAATATATGTTAGGTCGAAGGAAAAGTTCGTGGCGTATTCACAAATAGATGGCTTCAAGATTGCATTACTCGGATAACATTAACCTTTTTGTTAAGTCAGACTTAAACGCTTGTGAAATGTGACATTCCGTGAATGAATTTGGAAAAAAGAAAGTAAGGAAGAAACTGAGGAATTGTATTAGTAGGCGTATGAGTAGGCGTGGACAATTATATTCATTATTTTCAGCAAATACCGTACGATCTTTCATACAATATATATTGATGAGGAAAACTTTATCGCAACATCGATTTTATCCATTTATGAATAATGAACAAAAAACTTAATTTTTTTATTGTGAAAACAAAAATTAACTGAGAGCGTTTTCTATGATTAATTACGCCCATTTTCAAGAATTTTGCATATTTCAAAAAATTTTGAGGCCAATGAACAATGTTTACCATAAGCGGAAAGACAAATCGGCAGAGTAACGTACTTAAATCTATTCAAAATTTGATATCAAGATTAAGAATACAAATATTCTCTACGTGTCACAAACGTTTCGTATGCGATCAAAATGAATATACCGCCAATCCTTCAGCAGTGGGCATACAACAACAAGGTTGTCACATTTGTGAAATCAGTTGAAAGTAATTGAGTTTTGAAACTGAGCCAAACTTCTGCAAAAAATTCGCTACATTTGCATATGTGAAAAATTCGTGCGGTGTGCCATGACGATGCCTTATCGCAAAATCAGCGACATACAAATGATTTGCGTAAGTAAAACACTTCGACCTTTTTATGTAATCCATTATTTTTGAAATGTATATATATATATATATATATATCTCAGGGTTGTTATGTAATTATTTTGATTACTTAGAAATCAAAAGTGTATTGAGATTCGGTTCTTTGAATCTGATATAATCGTTTAATACAGTTTCTCGGAAAAATATTCGTTTTTTCTACCGATCTTCAATTCCAACTGTAAACTGCCTTGACTGAAACAGCGGGAAATTTTTTCCAAACAGGACACAATTCGCATGCGATCTAAGTGTCGTGTGATTATGCAAACTCAACTTTTCTAAAGTTCTTAATTCGCTGCACAAATATAATAAAAATTAAATAGAAATTTTTATATAATTGACTCAGGATAAAAAATGCCGTTCATGAAAATATAGTTTTCTCTTCTCCTTTACATTTTTGTGGAAGAGAAAAAAAGAAAAAAAGGAAAAAAGAAAGAAAAAGTAAAACAACACGAAATGTATGTCGCTCATGTTAAAGGTTGAGCATTTTTTTCTCTTTTTCTTTTTCTTTTTTTCGTTTTATGGAAGACTGGATTTTGTACAATAGCAATCCTTGCAGACGCTAATTTTTGTATACATCACCTAAACGAACGAAGCCTACCACATTTTCCATTTGATTTGTAACATTTACAAAGACACTTTATTATATGTAGTCTCGCGCAGTATGAGGATCCAAATTTAGCTATGAATTTTTTTGGAAATCTTACGATCGCAGAAATTGACATAATAGGCCTGTTCTTAGTTAATGGTGTTGCCCCTTAGAGCAACAATAAATGAAGTCGATTTTTGTGTGATATTAAGCGCGTGAAAACTATTCATTGACTGCAATTGAAGCAGAAGCGCTTCGCAATTTTACAATTATCATATATATATCCGCCTGAACTGGTGGGTGCGAAAAGCGTCAAGATACACTTTAAAGTTAATAAAACATCTTTACTTGACTTCTCTCTCTATCTCTCTCTCTCTTTCTCTCTCTCTCTCTCTCCGTTTGGTTGTTTCGAATTATTATTGCAGAGTTTATGCTAATTTCATTTTTGTAAATGTTACGCAAAGAATTTATATTATTGTAATCAAGTAGAGACTCACCTGTCAGTACTTGCACCTGAACAATTGCAGCAAAAAGTCTGCCAATCGCACATGAATAATTGCCACTGTCGGAAAATTTCGCATCCGGTATAGACATACGACTCGTAAGCCATTTCTCGTTAGCACTGTAATTGCAAAAAGAATTACGAAAGAGAAACAAGTAAGAAAATTAAATTCGGTCGTAACCGAATCTTTTATACCCACCACCATTTACCCTAAAAAAAAAAAAAAACACAAACGAAGTAAAAGCCTCAAAATTCTAATGCTTTATAATATGGAGCAGGCGCAGTTGATTTCTTCAGGGGCATGTCTGTCGAAAAGTCTAAGTGAGAAACAGGGGAATTTTTGTCACAAATACTACAAAGTTACACGAACAGACAGATAGACAGACGACCCGGCGAACATGTTTAGGTGCATTCAAGGGCCTGTAACTGGCCAAGAGTTTGTACACTTTATGCGGTTTTTGAAATTTCTTTCTGCGTATTATAAAGATATTGAAAAAATGGTTAAATTTTGATACACTATAAAATTGGGTAGGCGTGGTCAATTTGCTCCACATTTATAAATAGATGCTACAGCATGGTCCATAGGATATGTGTTCAAATTTTTGTGCATTTATTTGCTGCAGTTTATGAGTAATGAGCAAAAAACTAATTTTTCATTCTCTTCGAAGACAGAGATGTTCTCAGTTTACGTCATGCTGCGGGCGCGTTCTTGGACCGATTTGGCGTATTTGTAATACCAACCTGCGTACAAGAACTTCCAATGTTTCTGCCGGCTTTGAAGCTGATAGCCTCATTTTTGCGGTTAAGAGAATATTTACAACAGACGGACGGACGGTCAGACGGGCAGACGGACAAGCTTGAATAGGTTTACATTTTGATACAGATCAAGAACGTATATACTCTGTGGGGTCTCTGACGCTTCCTTCTGGACGTTGCAACCGTTTTGACAAAATGAATATGCCCCTAATCTCTCGGTGACGGGTGTAAAGATAGAAAAAACTGTAAATCCGGGGAAAATTAAGACAAATAGTACTTGTAGCGAAAGCGAATATTAATGAAAACACACTAACAGTAGGTAATATTTTAAAACGTCATTTTTGAAGTCATAAGACGTTGGAAATAGTATTTTGTGAAATAAGAACATTTATGTATAAACGTATAGTTGAGTGTATATACATAACTTTTCCAGTGTACATTTATCATTATTGATTTAGATTTATGCGGAATAGTTTCCGTAAAAATGTTCGTCTTATATACTCATAGTCATTTTTGCTCGAGGATGGCGTAAATCCTATAATAAACGCATTTCAACTTTTAAGACTTTTTAGACTAGAAAACCTACCCCTTCCCCCTCGCTGCTAATTATTGAGTTTGAATTCGCGAAGCTTGTGAGGACGAAAGTCTACGCTCGTTTTTAATCTATAGCTAAGTTTTCTTATTTTATGGTTATTGATAAGAAAAGTTCATGTTAAATAACTTGGCGAGCGACTGTACTAAGTAACATGACAGGGACGGCCTCATTCGAAATTGACTGCATTAAGTTCAGATCTTGAAGTTACGACTGGCAAAACTAAATATCTTAGGCAAAGAATAAGAAAAAAAAAAGAAGCTATTTACGTATCGTGGCGGACGACGTAAGTCATAAATTCGTGGTATTCAAAGTAAAAAGTAATCACAATGATGATCCCAGTCAGACAAGAATAGACACAAGCCCAGATAAGTAAACTCTTAAATATATGAGGTCTTGCGGAATCTAACGGAAGGGAGTACAAAGGCTGCATAAAGTGAATTATTATGAAAACAGGTTAGCAAATATTAATTTCATGAAGATCTGTCGTCTCCCAGATTAGTTCTCTATCAGCGGAGACTTATAGAGAAAACTATATAAATTGTCTTTGGAAGGAATCCTAGCAGCCATAGACGTTCTTTACAGGCTAACTGAATTGTGCGCAGAATGATTATATGTGCAGTTAAAAAAAAATAATTTTTTTTCGAGCATCGCTTTTGAGCCACACATTTGACGCAGCCATATTTTTTGGTGCTTACTCAAAGCCACCGAGATTGCTTGTTCTTACCTTTGTTTGCGTTTTTAATCTTTTACGCATGTAAGTAGAGATAGTTGTCTTTGAGGAGTGAAAATTTCACTCAGACATGCAAATCAGCCATCTATGCCAACATTCTTGAAGGAATCGTTTCTCGAATGATTTTATTATTTCGTTTGTTTCCCATAACCGTAAGATTCTATTTATTCGTCGAAGTTTATCATGTCTTGTGGATGGACAAACGGACAGACATGATTAAAACGGAACATATTTCTAGATGTGATATATGACACTACACACAAAAAGTAAATATGCCGTAACCATGAGTGATAGAGTCGTGTGATCTCCTTAGATGGCGAATATGAAGAATAATCAGCTTTTTTAATTGTTTCTCCCATGGGGATGCTTAACGGCACCTTGCTTTAAGGAATATTAATAAACAAATTCATTTAATATCCTGCGAAATCTCTTGTGTGCTGTTTGTGTCCTTTTACGCATTTTCCAAATAACGAAATGTCAATTTCAGACAATGGCCTTTGCATGTATGCCAATTATTATTCATTAATATGTACACATATACATATATATATATGCTGTACAATGCTTGTCTGTCTGGCTTACATATGGCTATCCATTCTGTAACTAAGTAAACTTGAGAAATTACTTTGTATCAAGAAATACGAGTCGGTCGTGTCACATACTCGCAATCCATTATATATATAAAACGTGTATGTGTGTGCGTGTGTGTGTGTGTGTGTGTGTGTGTGTGTATGTATGTGTCAAAGTTTAATGTTGATCTTCACACACATTCTTCATATTTATTTGTTTATTTATTTGTTTATTAAATAGCATTTTCCGTACGGTCATGTAATGCTTTATTTACATTCATGTGTGCGCAGGAAAGTGTGCTTATCGAAAATTTCAATACATACTTCTTTACTAAGGAGATTAAACAATCATTTTCAATTTGCTCAGCAAATTGAAATGTGTGGAAGAACATTTTCGATAAGAAAGTGCTAAAGGACGATTAATTAAATTGAAATGCATCTAAAATGTTTCAAAATATAATAATAATGGAATTAAACTAAAATTCACGAAAGCGAAAAAATTACCCGCTTATATTCGACAGTAATCGAAACTCTTGACATAAGCGTTTAGCAAATGCTTAAGTTGATACTTGGAAGAAGTGCAAGAACGAATCCTGCCTTACTTATCTAAATCGCAGATTGGATAGATAGGAGGAAATCTTTTATTAAGTCTTTTTATGCCCCAGGCCCCGATATTAAGTTCGTAGGAATATAGGCAATCATGAAAAGTAGGGTTCACACTTAAATTCTTAATAGATTTAAGAAAAACCTATCTTCCTATCTGCCTGTCTGCATAAGGTCTGTTCATGCACTCTTGAGAACATCATAAAAACGGCGGTTTCCGGCGGTTCATCTAATGGACTGACATGTTTTAGATTAAAGACAATCTATGCTCGAAGTGAACTGGATCGAGTCGTTTCTACCCCTTCATTTTAAATACAGCGTTCTAATGAAATTTTTCATGTTTAATAGTTTTTCGAGAAAAATCGGTGAAAATTAGTATTTCGGTATAAATTTATGTGTGGGAACTTTACATAGAATGACAATATCTTCTACATGCCCTTCCTTGTGAAAGCTTTTACAAAATCATAACCTTATAGGACCAGAAGTTTCAATATTTATGAAGCAAATGAAGACAAAAACTCTTCACATTACTTTGAAAGGATTTGTTCATCATATAAGGATTTCCGTGCACAATAAGCCTTCACATGACAACAATGCACAATTTTTGATAGCTCATAGAAAGTAAACGGAAAATAATAGGAACTACGGCAAAAATATCAATTAAAAGAAAGTTGCGAACAAGTAGCTTCACGTTTTAGGCCCTCTTCCGCAATCAGCCACTCGCCACTAGCCACTCGCTCACGTGAATGAGTTTAAGAACATAGTGTGTTTACAAGTGAGATTTCTTAAACGTAGTTCAGGTAGTTCGGACCTGTATCCGAAAACTACGACTTACACTAATAATTTTTTTGAGAAATTATGCAAAGCTTCTTCCATTTTGAAACCATTTATGGAACCACGTAATGCCAATGAGTTTTTATAGCTTGCTTACCCAAAGCAGTAGACGATCTTCTGAGTAAACGAACTGTTATTCACGAAACTTTACTTTTCCATTTCGCTTGTAGTATTTTCGAGAATTGTAATAGTGTACATCGCATGAATGACCGAACACTAAAAACTCGCCTTACAGGCAAGTGTCGGTACGTAAATGATGAAACCTTAAAAGTGCAAGTCTTGCGGCTATATTGTGGCCATAGAATTTCTCAGACCATTACGTTGAGAGAAACAAAAATACTGCTACAACAAAATCATTTTAACTCGTAAACGATATTGTTGTTATCGTAACAATAATTTCTATCATGATTCATCTATTCGATTATCCCGGGACTTATTGATTGTTGTATACATATACATATACATATATGTACATATATGCTTAGCGACTAAGTTATTCATTCGCATGCATGCACATCAAACCCATTATTACGTTGTTGTTGTTGTGGTTGTTGTTGTTGTTGTCCGTCTAAATTGGATTCAACAACATAAATAGAGATATTTTTGGCAACATAACGATTAAAGTTCTTGTTTCCAAAAAACAATAGCAACGATAAAAACAACAGCAGAAGAAGAAGAAGAACGCAAACGGCAAGAACGAGAACAACAATAGCATTGATGCATTTGCATTGGTGTATAAATTTTCATATGCCGTTTTAGTTAGGCGTTGCAGGTGTCAATATGTTTACCAAACTATTTGTCGTATGTAAATATTATGCAATGCTTTTAATAATAATTTGATATAAAATTCAATGGCACAATTTTAATGAAAGGTAAACTAAATGTATCGCTATTCACTCAATTACATCGATGAATATATGAAATATGCGTTGGCCCGCATCTTTCTTTCTTATTCTCTCCGCTTACCTTCTCTTCCGCCTTGTCACGGTCATCGCAGTAAAATCTAATTTATTTTTCGCATTAAATTTCTCAA